TGCCGGGAATATGCTGATATTGGGGGGTTTTTTAAATAAATGAATCCAGGTTTAAATTTGAACCAAACTGCTGTTAAACGGATGCTTAATCAGTGATCTGAAGGAAAACAGCTCTGATTCACAAGAAAGATCAAGGATCACTCACACTGAAACAGAAGGGAGACAGTTCTCAGAGCTAGAATTCAAAGAATTTACTATTTTTTCCCTCTCATTGGTATAGCAGTTCTAGGCAGCTCTCCCTTTTCTTGTTCATTATTAGTATTGTATATTTTAAGGCACCTGTTCCCATAGCATCTGGGCATCAGTTGCAGGAAACATACTAATAATTCCCTCAAGAGGGATCCTTCTCTCTTCCTGCATGTCAAGATTTCACTTCAGAAAGATACAAAAGCATGTGTGAGATTTTAAGTACATGAGTAGTCCCACTAAAGTCAGTGGGACTACTCACATGCTTAAAGTTAAGCATGTGCTTAAATCCTTTGCTTAAATGAGCCCTAAGCTACTTACTAATTACTTCTTATATTTTTAATCCAGTACAATTTAGACACCCCAGTTGAGATCAGGCCCCCATTGTGCCGGGCCGCTGCACAGACGCACAGTGAGAGACAGTCCCTGCCCCAAAGAGCTCACAGTCTAAACCGACAGGTGGGAAAATGACTTGCCTATGGTCACACAGGGAGTCTGTGGCAGGGCCAGGAATCATAGAAATGTCAGGCTGGAAAGGACCTTGAGAGGTCATCAAGTCCAGCCCCCTGCGCTGAGGCAGGACCAAGTAAACCTAGACCATCCCTGACAGGTGTTTGTCCAGCCTGTTCTTAAACATTTCTAGTGATGGGAGTTCCACAACCTGGAATGTTTCCCCAAGACTAAACATACCCAGTTTTTTAACCTTTCTTTATAGGGCAGGTTTTCTAAACCTTTGATCATTTTCGTTGCTTTCCTCAGGACTCTCTCCAATTTGTCCACATCTTTCGTAAAGTGCGGTGCCCAGAATTGGACACAGTAGCCCAGCTATGGCCTCACCAGTGCTGAGTAGAACAGGACAATTAACTCCCGTGTCTTGCATATGGCACTCCTGTCAATACACCCCAGAATTAATGTTGACTTTCACTTTCAAGGGCGGCCAGCACATCCCTCGGCCCACGCCACTTCCCGCAGCCCCTATTGGCCTGGAGCGGCAAACTGCGCCAATGGGAGCCACAATCGGCCAAACCTGTGGACGCGGCAGATAAACAAACCGGCCCGGCCCGGTGGGGGCTTTCCCTGAACAAGTGTCGGACCAGCTTTGAGAATCACTGGTGTCAGGGACAGGGGAGCAGGGGACAAAAAACAGGGCCCAGAGGGGACTGTGCTTCTGGTATGGAATTGGTGAGGGAACAAGAGACAGGAGTGGGACAGTGGGAGAAGCTTGGGAAGGAGGCACTTTTTACCAGGTCTCATGACTTTCTGCTGAGGAGTCATGCTCAAGCCAGAGAGTCAGTTGCACGTGGGGGGTGGGAGATGACATCCCCCCCACCAAAATAAACGTAGTCACCTCCTCTGATCCTGCCCACAGAAGTTCATGGAAGGTCAGGAGGGAGCCATTAGATCATCTAGTCTGACCTCCTGCATCTGCTAGGCCAGAGAATTCCACCAGCCATTCCCGCATTCAGTCTGGTAACTTGTGGCTGACTGAATAGATTGCATCCTTGAGACAGATCCAATCCACTTTTGATTGAAATGCTCAGCTACGTGGTTCCCCCAAGACAGCCCACATGGTGGGGTTGCATAAGGGGAGCCTTCCACCACTTCAGCCATGCAGTGGCTGCATTAGCAGAGTGTCCAAGTGGCTACCGGAGACCTGGGGCAGCACCCCCTCCCCAGTCCTAAACCCACTGCCAGAGAGAAGCCAGATGCCATTGCCTGGGATTTGAACCTCTGTGCATGACCTGAACGTCCACAAGACCTCGTTCTGTGTTTGTTTCTCTCTGGGCTTGTTCTTATCCAGGACTCTCCACCTTGGGTGTTTGTGCATGTAATTTATATGGCATTTTTTGCTATTTTAATTTACTCTGACCAGACCTAGAGCCCTGCAAATCTACGGAGAGCCACTTTATATCCGCGGACCATTTTTGCGGCTCTGATGCAGATACAAATCCGCGCAGGGCTCCGCAGCACACACTCACCAGAACGGAGGAACAGCTGTCACCCAGCCCTCAGGCTCCAGCTCGGCTGGGCTCTCTGAATCATGCAGCAGGCAGTGGGCTGTGATGTGTGGCAGGGGTAGTCAACAGGCGGACCGTGGGCCACATCTGGACTTCCAGATGTTTTTGAACGGACCCCGAAATCTTTTCATTTACTTATTATTGTTGTTTTTTATTATTTTCTCTGGAGTCTGGACTTTGACTATACCTTGACCAAGAAATTTACACCTTGACAAAAATAATTAACTACCCCTGTTACGTGGCAATAGCCTGCTGGGCATTCTGGGAGTTGTAGTCCCCAGCTTGCTCAGACAGAGGAGGTAACTGCAAGCACCGTGAGGAAGAGGGTAATTGTCACCTCTGTGACAGGGGTACCATGGGGGGGGGGTAGGGGAGGGCGCTAGCCCCCCCCGAGTTTCCTAGGGGAGGTCCACTCACCCTAGCCCCAGACGGAGCTCTTAACTGCAACAGCTCGAGGGTGAGATGTGATGAGTTCAGAAGCGGGGAGCAGCACAGCTTTTGGGGCTGGGAGTTTGTTTATAAACAGAGGCAGGTGATTAGGATAATAAAAGGCTTGTCAGGCACTTTAGTTAAAATATAGGAAACAAAGAGAGTAGGAATAAAAGGTGAGAGTGGAGAGAGGTAAATAGTGGGGTCCCCCAGGGGTCTGTTCTGGGACCAGTCAAATTCAACATATTCATAAATGATCTGGAAAAAGGGGTGTGCAGCGAGGTGGTAAAATTTGCAGATGATACAAAATTACTCAAAATAGTTAATCCCAAACCAGACTGTGAAGAGCTACAAAGGGATCTCCCCAAACTGGGTGACTGGGTAACAAAATGGCAGAAGAAATTCAATGTTGATAAATGGAAAGTAATGCACTTTGCAAAATATAATCCCAACTATACATACAAAAGGATGGGGTCTAAATTAGCTGAAGCCGTCAATAAAGAGATCTTGGAGTCATTGTGGATTGTTCTATGTGCAGCGGCAGTCAAAAAAGCAAACAGAATGTTGGGAATCATTAAGAAAGGGATAGATAACAGGATAGAAAAAAAAAAAAAAAAAAAAATAAATGGAGATATCCCATCTCCTAGAACTGGAAGGGACCTTGAAAGGTCATTGAGTCCAGCCCCCTGCCTTCACTAGCAGGACCAAGTACTGATTTTGCGCCAGATTCCCAAGTGGCCCCCTCAAGGATTGAACTCACAACCCTGGGTTTAGCAGGCCAATGCTCAAACCACTGAGCTATCCCTCCCCCCTAATATCATGTTGCCTCTATATATATCCATGGTATACCAACATATTGAATACTGCGTGCAGATTTGGACATCCCATCTCAACATATATTGGATTTGGAAAAGGTGTAGAGAAGGGCAACAGAAATGATCACAGGTATAGAACAGCTTCCATATGAGGAGAAATTAATAAGATGGGGACTTTTCAGCTTGGAAAAGAGGTGACTAAGGAGGGATATGATAGTGGTCTAGAAAATCATGAATGGTATGGAAAAATTGAATAAGGAAATGTTATTTACTCCTTCACAAAGCACAAGAACTAAGGGTTATCAAATGAAATTAATAGGCAGCATATTTAAAACAAACAAACAAAATATTTTTTCACAGTCAACCTGTGGAACTCCTTGCCAGAAGATGTTGTGAAGGCCAAAACTATCACAGGGTTCCAATAAGAATAAGATAAGTTCATGGAGGATAGGTCCAGCAATGGCTATTAGCCAGGGTGGGCAGGGATCCAACATCATGTTCTGCATGTCGCTCGCCTCTGTTTGCCAGAAGCTGGGAGTGGGCAACAAGGCAACTTGATGAGTCCCTGTTCTGTTCATTCCCCCCAGGGCACCTGGCCTTGACCACTGTCAGAAGACAGGATACTGGGCTAGATGGACCATTGGCCTGACCCAGTATGGCCATTCTTATGTTCTTACATAGAACTCAGATGTATCTGCTCCCCACTGTAACCCACTAGACCCCGCTCTCTTCCCAGAGCTGGGATAGAACCCAGGAGTCCTGACGGGGGCTCTCTCTCCACAGAGGTAGTAATAAAGTAAGAATATATATTAAAATTTTAAAACCAAGCCAGTGTCCCTTAAGTCAGTGGTTTTCAAACTGTGGGTCACGACCCAGTACTGGGTCATGGAATGCAAGGCACCAGGTCACGGTGGCTCTGGTCAGCACCGCCAACCAGGCCGTTAAAAGTCCAGTTGGTGGTGCTGCCCGGCTAAGGTGGGCTAGTCCCTACCTGTTCTGACACCGTGCAGCACCTCGGAAGGGGCCAGCAGCAGGTCCGGCTCCTAGGTAGGGGGGCCACAGGGCTCCATGCGCTGCCCCCACCCTGAGCACCAGCTCTACACTCCCATTGGCTCTCATCCCGACCCCTGACTGCCCCCCTCAGAACCCCTGACCCATCCAACCCGCTGTGCTCCTTGTCCCCTGACTGCCCCTAACAGCCCCCTGGTACCTCATCCTCTATCTAACCCCCTAACCCGTGACAGGCCTCCCAGGACCCCACCCCCTATCCAACCGCCCCTATTCCCTGTCCCAACCCCTATCCACACCCCACACCCCGACAGATCCCCCAGGACTCCCATGCCCTATCCAACCACCCCTGTTCCCTGACTGTGCCCTGGAAGCCCCTACCCCTTATCCAACCCCCTGCTCCCACCCCCTTACCATGCCGCTCAGAGCACCAGGCCTGGCAGCTGCTAAGACTGCGGGGAAGGGGGAAGGCCCGGGGACGAGCCTCCCCAGCCGGGAGCTCAGGGGCCGGGCAGGACGGTCCCGCGGATGGCAGTTTACCCACCTCTGAGCTAGGCAGGAGCGACAGAGTAACTCCTGGTCCGAAGAGATCCCTGGAACCGGCACCAGCTGAGCGGAACACGTGACCCTGCCTTGGGGGCAGGAACTTAGCGGCCCAATGAGCGCGCAGCGCTGGCTCGGCTCGCGTTAACTGGGCGCCTGGGAGCAAATCCAAACCACGCGTTTGAGCCGCTTAATTGGAACTGGCCAATCAGAGCAGGAGCCGCGCTTGGCGGCTGTGGCCAGCACCTGGCCGAGGTCTGTAGCTCCGTGTCCCGCTCAGTTGTTACCCAGGTTTCCCCGGCTGGGTGCTCTGCAGGGCCGGGATCGCTCCGTTCTCCGGCTCCCCCCAGGTACGGCCCTTTCCTGCTCTTCCCGTGTTTGCTGCCGGGCGTGTGACCGCCGCAGCCCGGTCCGGGGGGAAGGAGGCGGCCGGGCCGGGGGGAGCGGGCGCGTTGCTGGCGCGATTCGGTGCATCGGCTGCAGCCGCCTGCGGGGACCTTGTCCCGCCGCCCGTGCGGCGCTGCCGGGCCGGGGGAAGGGGCGGACCCCGCTGCAGCTGCTGCTGCC